TTCTAACTTTTTGGCAACCTCTGCTGATAAACCATACTCTGTGCCATATAAAATTAAAATTGGACATACATCATCAGATGGTTTGACAAATCTTTCTTTTTTTTCTTTTTTTGCTCTATTCAAAGATGATGGATCTGGAGCATTAAATCCAAATTTATCACCTTCGTCCTTTGAAACTGATGGTGCTGAAAAAAATTTATATAAATAATAAGTTGTTGTTACACCAGCACCTAATAATACTAAATTTTTTGGTTTTAAAAGTGTTGATTTCATTTTATTTTTTGCAATGCCACAACAAAATTAGTTCGTTCAAAAAAAAAAAAAAAAAAAAAAAAAAATTTGGACGAAAAAATCTTTGGGGTTTGTGATCAAAAAAAAAAAAAAAAAAAAAAAATTATTAAAATAAAATAAAATTTAAAAAAAAAATTAAAATAAAATAAAATTTAAAAAAAAAAAAAAAAAAAAAAAAAGAAAAAAAAAAGATATTTTCAAAAAATTTATATTTAGAAATTTTTTTTTTTTCATTATTTATTTTTATTATTTTAAAATAAAAGGATGAATTGGATTTTTTGATTTATAATTTAAAGTATCATTTAATAAAAATGAAAGTGAAGAATTACAATCTTGAATAGTTTGACCAATTGTAGTTGAAGAAATTGTTGAATGAAAGGTATCATTTTGAGGTTGTTCACAACTATACAGAGCAGCAGCAAAACTTGGATATTTTAATAAAGATATTGATTCATTTGCACGTTGAATTACTTGAGGGTCAAAATATTGTTGAAAACCAATTATTTTCATTAGACATAAAACAACACGAGATGTCGCATCTGGCCAACGTGATGCAATCTTTGTTAAAGAACTAATCAAGTTTAACATTATATTAATATTATATTGTTCTTGTAATTTTTCAATGCCACCATTATTATTATTATTATTATTATTATTATTATTATTATTATTATTATTATTATTATTATTATTATTATTATTATTATTATTATTCTCAATAATATTTAAATTAAAGTTATTAATATTATTTAAAATATTAATATTTAAATTATAATTTAAATTATAATTATTTATAAAATTTTGATTTTGATCATTTTCATTTTCATTTATATTTTTTTTATCATTATTATTATTTAATTTTTCTAAATTAGAATCATTTTCATTAATTGATTTTTGTTCTTTATCTTTTTCTTTTTCTTGTTGTTGTTTTAATTGTTGTTGTTGTTGTTTTAAAATCAAATTTGATTGTTGTAATGAAGATTGTGAAGAATTTGATAAAAAATCCATTTTAATTGTATTAATTTTTTCATAGGTAATTAATTCTAGAGCTTCATGATAATCAGAATAAACTTCAGATGTTATTGTTTGGCAAATATAGGGTGAACAATATTCACCAATTATAAAAGATAATGATAGGGTGATAATATCTTTATAGGTCATACGAGCTTCACTTATAACTGAAAGAATTAATTGTTTTTCTGATAAAATCAAAGAGGGATGTTTTTTAAATATTGATAGTAAATGAGACATTAAATTTTCTCTAATACATTTTTGATAGGGTTCATATGGAAAAATTTGTTCCATACGTTCGAAAATAACTGGAAGTAATGTGATAAAGGTATTTAATGAACCATATTCCAATAAAACATCGAAATAAATATCAAGTAGTGATGGAACCAAATCACAAGCACCAATTGATCTTGGAGTTACTGGATTTTTTTTACATAGTTGTTGAAGTAACGGTAGGGTTGTAGTTGACCAAAAGTTTATGTTAACACCAGATTCATTACGTAGTAGATAGTTATAAAGTACACGATATTCACTCCAAGCAGTATCAACACCAACATCATTATGTTCAATACCCATTGACGCATATTTTCTTTGTTCGACTAGTACACTTTCCATTGATAGTGTTAACAATGGTAAATCTAATAATAAATGAAATACTTCAATAAATGAGTTTGGTGATATAAATGATGGTAATAAATCTGAAAATTCACTACTTAAACTATTTGGGAACCACGCTAAGCATTTGAAAATTGGTGGAAAATATAAATTAAATACATTACTACTCTTTAATAATATTTTTTTATTTTTTAAACAAAAATTAATAGTTTCGAATGAAACAAATGAATTCATATCTTTAAAAAAAAAAAAAGTTAATATGATTTTAAAAAGAATTTTTTTTTTTTTTTTACTTACAAGTTCTTGGTAAATAAGTTTGAAAATAAACTTTAAATAATGGTTCAGGATCATACACTAAAGTATGACTATGATTTACAAAGAATTGTAATAATGCTAATAAGATATGACCAGAGGTCGCATTTGTATTTTTTGATGACGGTAAATGAAGTTGATATGCTTTTTGGACTGTTGGAAATATTTTTGCAATTAAATTTGAATCCAATAAACAAAGGTAGTCTAATATTCTAATTGATTCAAGTAAGGCAATAACTGAAAGATCATCACCACCACTTTCATCAATCCCTAATGCTATAGCTGTTGCTGATTGTTGCAGAATTGGTTTATTATAAATCATACTACCACCACTAATATTACTATTAATATTACCACTGTTTAAATTACCACTACCATCAATTGGTTTTAATTTACTTTGGTCAATTAACCTTAAACAATATGATACTATTGTATTATGAAATGATTGACTTAATATTCTTGGTTGTTGATCAAGTTTTTCTGTTAATTCATCTTTTTGTTCTATTTGTTTTTCAATATGTTGTTCTATTTGTTGTTTTTCAATTTGTTGATCTTGTTCTGTAGATGGTTGATTAGTTCTATATAAATTTGTTAACCAAGTATATAAAATTGAAAATGAATAAATATTAAAAGTTTGATCTTCTGTATAATTTGTAGAATTGTTTAATACTGTAAAAAATTCAATCGAAACTGATCCATCTAATTCTGTTACTGGTGTAGCGCTTGTATTACTAATTTTACTAAAAACTAAAGATATTTTTATTTTATATTTTTAGTATATATATATATATATATATATATATATATTTTTTAAATACATACAACCACCAATTGATTGTTTTTGATCAGAAATTAAACTTGCATGACTTAAAAACTGAATTAATTGAGTTTCAATTGGTTTTATGTGTAAATTTGTTAAAGAATTTGAATGATACCTGGCAGAGATTGCCAATGATGGTATTGATGCCGATCTTGTTAAAGGATCTTGTGAAGAGATTGATTGAACTAAAAATGGTATGGTTGATATGTAAACTTGTGAATCTGTAGCAGTTGATAACAATAATGATAATATTAATGGTAATGCCCTTTGATCAAAAGTTTTTAAACTAACATTAATAAAAAAAATGAAAAAAAATAAGGTTTTTAATATGTGTTGTATCAATTTGATGTGTGGTTTTTTTTTTTTTTTACTACCTTTTATATAAAATTTGTGGTTCAGTTTTTGATATTTTTGAAATTATTGATAGAATTAATAATTTAATTTTGTAAGGAGTATTTGGATCTAATAGTAGGGTTGTAATTTTCTCAATAAATATAGAGTTTATTGAAAGGGATCTCTGATTTTTGCCCCTATAATTTAAACATATTTTATAAAATAATTTTAAAATATCTATACTATCTTTATTCTTTGGATTTTTTAATACTACCTAATAATACGGCGGTATCGATAAACGAATGTAAATATTAGGTTAATAATAGTTTGTTTTATATTTTTTATTTTTTTCATCAATATTTCATACAATACAGTTTCTATTTTATTTAATAGGTCTTCAATATTAAGTGAGCCAGGTACATTGCTAAATGTATTTGTTTGCATATTTAGTTTTATTCTTTGTGTGAAAAAAAAAAAAAAAAATGCTTCAAAAATTTTTTTTTTTTTTCAAGATTTTTTTTTTATTTTTTTTATTTCACATTTATTCAACATTTTTTTTATTTCATAATATTTTTTTTTTTTTTACATATAACTCACTGTTTTACGATTTAGATTGGTTTTTATAGTTTTTACTTTTTATTTTATTTTTTTTATTGTGGTGCAATTAGCTATTTGTAAACTATAATCAATATTATTTTTATTTTTTTTTATTTTATTTTTGTTTTTTTTTTTTTTTTTTTTTAAGCTTCAATGTTGTTACTATATTGGAAATAGAATTGGATTCATTGGTTTTCTTTTTTTTTATACCTATGATTAGACGCAAGGTCTCGGCGGTGTTAATTAAATAAATTATCTTTATTGTTTTCTTTTTAAAATTTTAAAATTTTTATAAATCGGATTCATTGGAGTTTGCCAAGTATTGTTGAATTCGAGTTTTGGAAAATTTATGTTTTGTTCTAATTTGAAAAATTCAGATTAATGAAAAAATTAAATTTAAGATTTCGAGGAATATAGGAATGGAATGGCTTAACATTTTTTTTTTAATATTATTGGGATTAGAATTTCTAATCACCATGTTTTTTTTTTTTTTTTTGTTGTTGTTTTTTGGAAGTCGAGCTTTTTTTCCTTGTTGGTCTGGTGGTGAGGATTTTCGCCTGTCACTACGTATAGCCTCCAATAACGAGGGTTTAATTATGACCACGTTACTTCTGTTTTTTTTTTTTTTTTTTTTTGTTTTTTAATATTATTGGGATTAAAATTTCTAATCACCATGTTTTTTTTTTTGTTGTTGTTTTTTGGAGGTCGAGCTTTTTTCCGGTTGATTATGAGGTGTGTTATTTATGACCACGTTACTTCGTGGTATGACCTAAGGCTCGAACCAAGGCCACGGAGACTGTGTGATTCAGCGCAAACCACTACTATGGGGTTTAATTATGACCACGTTACTTCGTGGTATGACCAAGACTCGATCCCAAGGTCTTGACCACGGAGGCTTGTGATTCAGCGTGGAACCACTACGCTAAGCCCCCCGGATCCCCAAAGTTTTTTTTTTTACTTATGGCCGGATCCCCGAAGAAAGAATCGAACTCACGACTTAAAAACGGAAAAGCAAAAATTCTGTCATGGGCAGGACTCGAACCTGCATCTTATTCGTTAGGACCGAACCGCTTTATCCAATTAGGCCACCATGACCTCATCAACATCAAAACAAAGTTAATAACCAATATATGATCCTAAAAAAATTCTCAAACGTGACACTTACAAATGTTGATTAGCGAGGGAAAAAGCTAGACTGTAATATTCATTTTAAAAAATATATATGTATTATTCCCAATTTTTTAAAATAAATAAAAAAATCATCATTGCAATATACTCATCATTTTTCAGAAAAAACTCTAATGTTCGGTTTTAACCAAGAATTTCATTTTTTTTTTCATATTTTCAAACTAAAACCTGGGTGCAAAAAAATTCAATAGGGTGTGTCCGCTTATGTAATTAAATTTCATAGACATTAAAATAAATATTAGTTAGAAAAAATAAATAAAAATTGGTGATGTTATTATATTACAAAGTGTTCAAACTTTTTATAAATCAAAATAATTTCTCACCCAATGCGGGGTAGTATCCTGCACAAATTTTTTTTGTTTTTTTTCAATAAACAGTTTTTTATAACCAAATAAAGCATTACATATTCATAAAATCTAAATAAAATCATTTTGTTCATTTAATTTTTTATTTATATATTATTAATAACCAAGGGCATCATTGGTCCAATTGATTACTATTGGAGATAAAAAAGGTTAAATTGGGTTGAATAGAAGGGTTAAAACTACCTGTTGTTGTTGTTGTTGTTGTTGTTGTTGTTGTTGTTGTTGTTGTTGTTGTTGTTGTTGTTGTTGTTGTTGTTGTTGTTGTTGTTGTTGTTGTGCCGCTATTGCTGCGGCTGCAGTTGTTGAAGAAGGATGATGACAATGAAACTGGTTTTGAAATTGGTATTGAAGTTGGTTGTATAACTGGTTTATTAACTAAATGTGCTTTCTTTTTATAAGCTTTTACTAATAAAGTAAAATATTTTTATAATTTAATTTCAATAGAGATTAACTCTCTAAGATTCTCATTGAATTGACCAAATTTCATTGATTCATCATTTTTCAATGACTTTAACATTGGGTACGTGATTAAGTATTCTCATCTATTTCAATTGATATTTAATTAATTAATTAAACACTGATTTACCCTTCCTTTATCTACTGTATTTCACAATCCCATCATATAGAATGTCTCTACCGGTATTTTTTTTTTACTAGGATTTGATTCACTATAGAATGATAACACCAATTTATAAAATGATAGTGACAAATCTGCATTTGATAATTGATCAACTCTACCTAATTTAATTGTTAAAAATGGTTTTACTGTTACTGTTGTTGTTTTTGTAATTGATTCAGCTGTAGTAAGAGTAGTGGTTGTAGTTAAAGATGGTGTTGTTGGTGTTGGTGTTGTGTGATTCAGTTACCATTGGTGTTGGAAATGGAGTTAATGTTGTTGGTAATAATTTAAATAGTTTTGAATAGTTTTCACTATTAATACAATCAGCATAATTATTATTATTATTATTATTATTATTATTATTATTATTATTATTATTATTATTATTATTATTATTATTATTATTATTATTATTATTATTATTATTATTATTATTATTATTATTATTATTATTATTATTATTATTATTATTATTATTATTATTATTATTATTATTATTATTATTATTATTATTATTATTATTATTATTATTATTATTATTATTAATTATTTGAAGATGGTATTGATCTTGAATTTGGATTGGTGATAAGATTGGCGACAAAAGTGCAAATGATCTTGATATACCTGCCATTTTACTTGCAATTATAATTGTGGGTGTACCATATAAATATCAAGTTGGACGTAAATGTTTATTTGGAGTTTATAAGAATTCATTTTTATTATCACGAAAAGTGAACAATCGTCAGTTGGATTATCAGTAATTAATTCGCTTTTCTAAATGTAGTGGAGAGTAATTTCGATGGCTATAATCTAATTATAACATTATAGGTTTGGCAATATATGTAACGATGATAGCAATGTAGTGATTTGAACAGGTATTTACAATGATAACTCTATTAAACATTGTTGAAGCGCTGGTATCATTATTGAATAGCTACTCGATAATAATATATCATCTCTAATATAATGATTGGGAAAAAAAAGTGTAATTTATTTGATCAATTTTGGTACAACTCTTGAATATGGTTTTCTATAAGTAAAAACATATATTGGATTGAATTTATCTGTTTACTCTCAATAACATATTTTGATGGTAATAAAATAAATTATGATTAAACTTGTTGAACCATAGTTGAACACATTAAAATTACAATGGCTATCAATACTAACACCGCCACTATCACCACATACATTGTTACTATTGGTTGAATTGCATTAAAAAATTTGAATATCTCATTTTTTTTGTATTGAGTTTTTTTTGAAAAAAAAAAAAAATAAGTAAAATAAAAAAGAAAATTTTTAAAAAAAAATTTAAATAAAATAAAATTTAAATTCAAAAAATAAAAATTCAATTACTATTTAAATAAAATTTAATACAGTTTGTTTTTGAAAAAAAAAAAACCCAAGGGCTGGGAAAATGAATTTTGAAAAGGAAATTATTGAGTTATTAATAATTTATTGTATTTGATTTTATTAGATTATTTATTTTAATAATTTATTTGTTTTTTTTTCTTGTTCATTTAAAAATAATTAATTTTTTTGAAGTTTATATTCTTATTACTTTTTATTCACAAATTTTTTTTAATAATCACAAAAAAAAAAAAAAAATCAAATAAGGGACATTTTTTTATAAATTCAATTCATATAAATTAATTATATGTGTAGCTCACTTGTATTAAGAGTTGTGATATTCAAAAAAAGTTGTCAGGTTCAGTGAAATTGTCTGCATCAAGAAATGGAGATAAATTAATTAAAAAAACTTGTTTGTGTATTTAATTTTTGGGAAAATCTGATAAATTTATAATTTTTTTTATTATAATAAATCAAGTTATATAATTTATTTGTATATATAATAAATTTCTAAGAAATATCTAATTGGATGTTAAATATACAAAAGTTTGTCTGAATGAGATGGTTGTCATAAATAGGTAGGGGTCAGATATCAAAAATTTTTGAAATTAGCGGGGGTATGAATTGGAGGATTATTTTTAATTTCATGAATCATAATTAAGTTGGTAAAAGATTATTTTTTTATTTACTCTATATTGAAAAATGATTTTGTTAATAAAAATTATGTAAATCGGGCCACATTTTCAATATAATAAGTTTAAATGTGTAAAATTGAAATTATTATAGTAAATATATATTTATATTATATTTCTTAAAAATGAGGTATTGAAAGTATTTAAAATTTTTTTTTTTGAGGAGAGAGTCTCTTATTTTAAGGGGAGAGTCATTTTTTTTAAAGAGAGAGTCTCTATTTTTTAAGGAGAGAGTTCCTTTTTTAGAGGAGAGAGTCTCATTTTTTGAGGAGAGAGTCATTTTTTTTTGAGGAGAGAGTCATTTTTTTTTTAGGAGAGAGTCATTTTTTTTTGAGGAGAGAGTCCATTTTTTTGAGGAGAGAGTCTCTTTTTTTTGAGGAGAGAACCCCTATTTTTTGAGGAGAGAGTCTCTTTTTTTTGAGGAGAGAGTGTCCTTTTTTTGAGGAGAGAGTGTCCTTTTTTTGAGGAGAGTCCCTATTTTTTGAGGAGAGAGTCCCTATTTTTTGAGGAGAGAGTCCCTTTTTTTGAAGGGGTGACTCGATGTTCTGGCAGAGAGACAGGGGAGACAGGGGAGAGACAGGGGGACAGGGGAGAGAGACAGGGGAGAGACAGGGGAGAGACAGGGGAGAGACAGGGGAGAGACAGGGGAGAGAC